TGCTTGCTGGCCCAAAGGCTGCTCAGGGCCGCAATGGCTGCTGCCTGGTCTCTATTTCTAACCTCAGGCAGGGACGGTCCATCTCCTGTCCTGGCAAGCTCACCTGCACTGGTCTGCGAAGGAGCTTCCACTAGCAGCTCCTGTCTGAAGCCTCTGCTGAAATGCCATTGTGCAAACTACAAATGCACAAGCTGGGGGAGAGTTTACCCTGATTGGATATTATACAATGCATACATGGATCCGCAGTCTAGACAGTAACCCATAAATATGTAAATTCTTATATATCAGTTAAAAATCACTTTTTAAAACAAGTATAAAAATATAAAGTTGAGTGCTGAGGTGAAGTGGGGTAAGCCACCACTTGAGGCATCTGTACCCCACATCAGGATGCTTGGGATTGAGGTTTGCCTCCATTTCCGACCTAACTTCGTGCTGATGTGCACCGTGGGAGGCAGCAGGTAATGGCTCAAGTACATTGGTCCCAGCCACCCACAGGAGAGACCTGGATTGGGTTTCGGGTTCCTGACTTAAGCCTGGCCCAACCCTGGCCGTTACATGCATCTGGAAAGAGAAACAATGGATGGAAGATCCCTCTATTTTTCTCTTTCTCTTTGTCAGTCTGCCTTTCAAATAAATTAAGTTAAAAGAAAATGTTAAAAAATGTACAAAGATACCTCAAAAGATTCATGGGAAATGAAATTAAAAGATAAGTTTATTTTGGTACAAAATATATAAGGAGTTTTCAAAAGAGTTCATTAAAAATGTGTACTATGCAAAAACTATGCATGGATTTCAATTTTTTTCTATCAAAATGTACTTATCTTTTAAAAATTACGTATTTATTTGAGAGACAAAGAGAATGCCCACCCACAGATGCCTGTAATAATGGAGCCTGGGCCAGGTCAGAGCTGGGTGCTGAGAACTGAGAACTGAACCCATAGGAGTGGCAAGGAGTCAGCTACTTGAGCCATCACTGCTGCCTTCCAGGGTTTGTATTAGTAGGAAGCTGGAGTCAGGAGCTAGAGCACGGGATAGGACCCAGATATTTTGATATGTAAGACAGGCACCTTGACTGTCATTCTTTTTTATTTTTTTAAGATTTATTTATTTATTTGAAAGAGTTACAGAGAAAGAAGGGGACAGATAGATCTCCCTTCTACTGGTTCACTCCCCAAATGGTCACAAAAGCCAGGGCCAGGCAAGGCTGAAACCAAGAGCAGGAATTTCATCCAGGTCTACCCGTGGGGGAGGGGCCCAGGCACTTGGGCCATCTTCTGCTGCTCTTCCCAGGCCATTAGCAGGGAGTTGAATTGGAAGTGGAGCAGCAAGGACAGGACCAATGCCTCTATGGGATGCCAGCACCAAAGGCAGTGGCTTTAGCCTCGCTGCTATACCACAACACTGGCCCCTTAACTGTCGTCTTAACTGTTAGGCCAGATGTCTGCCCCAAATTTACCTTTTAATTCCATTTTCCATGAACTTTCTTGAAGTACTCTTGTATATTTATATTTGGGTATTATATGTGCTGTATATAGAATGAAACTCCTTAATAATTATGAATAAACAAAGAGAAAAACCAAAATATTTTCAAAGAACTGAAAAGTTTGCTTTAAGCATTTTTAACATATTCTCTTTTAGGCCAGTAGAGGTAGCTGTGAATGAAAACAGGAAATACAAATATTTCTGTTGAACTGCTCAAGGTCAGCCATTAGATGGCACCCTTTTCGTTTTGGGAAATTAGATTTCTATCAGAGCTTGAATGCAAACTAAGGTAGCTAGTGACACTGGAGCTGATTCTGATTTACCTGAATTTATCTAGAATAATCCTCTCAACCATTTACTGAGTGCATAGACTTGGGCCATTTCTATTCAACATTTTCTGACTAAGACTGTGTCCTTATACACAGAAAGATCACATTTCCTAGTAAGAGGCAGTACACAGTGATAAGAGTTCATCACCGGACTCAGGTCAACCTCATAATCATCATCAAATTCTCTGAATGCAAGAACTCTCCAAATGCAGAGCTGAGACAGCCCATACTGCTCTCTGCAAGTCTCAGAGCAGGGTGCTATCACAGGAATTTGCTTGGGAAGTCAACAGGCAAAGCTCAGCTAATACGCGGCCGGCGCTGTGGCTCAGTGGGTTAACGCCCTGGCCTCAAGCACCGGCATCCCATATGTGTGCCAGTTCAAGTCCCAGCTGCTCCACTTCCGATCCAGCTCTCTGCTCTGGCCTGGGATAGCAGTAGAAGATGGCCCAAGTCCTTGGGCCCCTGCATCTCTGTGGGAGACCCAGAAGAAGCTCCTGGCTCCTGGCTTCAGATGAGCACAGTTCTGGCCATTGTGGCCACTGGGGAGTGAACCATCAGATGGAAGACTTCTCTCTCTCTCTGCCTCTCCTCTCTATGTGTAACTTTGACTTTCAAATAAATAAATAAATCTTAAAAAAAATAATAAAGCTCAGCTAACAGTCTACTTGGGAGCCCTATCTTAGCACAATGCCTGGCTCAGGGCAGGCCCACAGAGGACTTCTGAATGAACAAACCATAAGATTATTAATAACACTACTGCCTTTAAAAACTGTGCCCTTAAAAAGGTATCAGTAAAACCAGTTTTCTGTAAGGTTTCTGAGATGTAATGCCTAACAAGTCGTGCATAGGGAGAGTGTGTATCCACAGCATCTCTTCATGAGAGATGAAGAGGCAACATAAAGGAGTCCACATATTCTTAAATTTAGTAAGGCCCATCAGGAAATATTTTCCTCCCCAAAATACTTTATTTAGGCAATAATCTTCTTACTAGTGTCATTAAACTAAGTTCATGTTCTAGAAACTAAAATAGCACAGTCTAGCACATAAAGCCAAATTCTCAAGCGTATAATTTAATTTAAATAACCTAATTTAGTTGGCCTATGAAAATTTGGATTGATTCATTCTTATGACTCTTCTAAATCAAAGACTATTCATTTTTTCAAATACCTTAAAATTTTACTACTCAGTTTATGACCTACATTACTAAACACTAGAAACACCACCTATGAATTCTGCACAATAATTGCTAACAGACTTGTCATTTTTACAGAAACTAGAAGCTTAATAAGTTCATTACTAAGTATTTGCATGTCTCCCAAGTACCTTTCACATGTAGTCAAGGAAGTTTTTCACTTGTCTTCAAGTACCTGCTCTCATATTATATATAGATACGAATTCTGTTTTCATTTGACACTAGGTCCTAAGCTTTTTTCTACTCAACAGCTTAATAGGGCTTCTCTTTTATGAGAAACAAATGGCCAGTCCTAAACCAGCCTGACATCAATTATTATGTTGGGAGAAGAGGCCTGCATTGAAGATATCTAGAAAAACTCGCTAATTGATCAAACACTGAGTGGGTCATGTGAAAATGAAAATCAAATTCAATACCTCCTGTCACTAATCCTATCCCTCCTCTCAACTCCTTTACTTACCATCTTAGGTAAGGTAGGTAAGGTTGAGTTCAAACCTTGACTTCTGCCAATTATAAGCCGTGGGATCCTAGGTACATGACAAGCTTTCTGAGTCCCAATTTCCTGACTTACAATGGGAGGTATTATCTACTATATAGTTATTGTAAAGATTAAATAATACATTATGCCTAAAATACCTAGTACACTGCCTGAAATGAATTTATATTGGTCAAATGCAAAGCTGAGGTAGCAGTAGAAATTGTCAAAAGCCTTATTATAGGCTTTTTTGTCTTTTCCAAGCAATTATTAATTTATTGTTATTAATGACCAGACAGCAAAGTTACTTAAAAAATAAAGGTTAGGACAAAAGCAGCATCATTTGTTATCAGTGCATTTAAAGTGAAAAGTACAATAATGTGGGATGGGCACTGTGGCGCAGTGGGTTATGCCAGCATCCCATAATGGAGTGTTGCTGGTTGGAATTCTGGCTGATCTGCTTCTGATACTAATGTGCCCGGGAAAGCAGCGAATGATGGCCCAAAATGTATCCAGAACCTCCTCTCATCAATTCCACTGCTGCCTTCAGTCCAAAGTAACATCAGTTCTCATCGGTCACAAGAAGCCAGGGCCACAGAACTTCCTATCAGTTGCGCTGAAAAAAGGGTCAGTCATTCCTAACATATAGTGCTTTAGTGTGTGGTATAAATTTTACATACATACACATGCACACCTGTTATACACATACATAGTATGCATATATTCAAATACATATGTATATATTCCCACACATATACCTGTTCACACATTCATATATATACACACACATACATACGCATATGTATATATAGGCTTTTGGGATTTTTCCAAATAATGTGTGAATAATATGTTAATGATATAAACAATTAATTTAAAAATACTTTATAAGGATGTTTACATATATATAGATGTCAAACAGCATAGGAAGTCATTCTCAATTATTCTTTTCTGAAGTGTGTTTTCATTTATTTGAAAGAGTGGCAGAGAGAGAGTGAGCACGCACTTCCATCTGCTGGCTCACTCCCCAAATGCCTGTAACAGGCAGCACTGGGCCAGGTCAAAACCAGGAGCCAGAAACTCCATCTGGCCTCTCACTTGGGTGGCAGGGACCCAAATACTCACGCCATCATCTGCTGCTTCCCAGAGTACACATGAGCAGGAAGCTGAGGCAGGAATCAATCCCAGGCACTGCGATATGGGCTGCAGGCATCTCAAGCAGTGGCTTAACCCACTGTGCCACACTGCCCACCCCCTAAATCACTAGTTTTATCAAAGGAGTAGCTAATGGCAACTTGTACGGAACATTACTCATGAATTATTCATTACTAACTATATTTGAGGATCCACCAGCTTCAAAAACTTAGTTATCTATGAATTACTAGTAGTGAGAAGTTACCTGGTTATTAATAAGAATTTAGCCCGACAGTGACCAAACTATGTGCAAATTTGAAAAACCAGGAAGATTCAGATTGAAGAAAGAAGAATAAACACCACACACCGACCACAGACTGCAGTTACTTACACTGTGAACTCCTAGGGCTTTCCAGACTGCGAAGCTGATCACACCAACCCCACACCACGCACAAAGTGAGCCCCAGCCCAGAGCTCGCAAGGCAAGGGAAGACCCACTCTCTGGTAAGGCAGCCGTAGACATACTTCCCTGAAATGAAGTCACAAAGGTTTGAGTAAAAATAGGCTATTCAGAAAAAAAAAACAAAAAACACATCCTGGGAGTGTTTGAAATGAATGATTCTCTGCATAAGCAACATGATAACAGCAAGGCAGATCACAAGGTCAAATGTCAGCATGGCTACTCCTTACAGGGCTTCTCTACTGACAAATACAAGTATGCGAGGCACTGTGCCTGCTTAGACTTCCAGAAAAACCCTAGACATTCTGTCAAGATTTCTCTATCCTCCATCTCTATCACTCACTGGTACTTTAATTAGACTGACATTAAACTGGTTAGCTAATCTGTAAGAAATAGCAAATTTATAATATCTTGTTGCTAAAGTTATTTCCTTAGAATACTTTTCTTCGCACCGTTCAACCTGTAACTCAGCACCGTTTTTCTTATGCATGTCTGGTCTGTGCGAATGCTGTTTCTAGCATAGAAAAGGCCACTGCTTTGTTGATCAGTATTCCTGACCTAGCACCATGAGTATAGTTAAGGACTCAGTATAGGCTGACTTAACACTTCTTGTAAATATAGCTTGTAACCAATGAATCATCCTGATGTTTTCCTTTGCCATTTTCTACAAGGAAAACAAAATATTCTCGTATCTGACTCCTTTTCCCATGTTGCTATAATTCTACAGTGGTTCCCTAGATACCACAGATCTCACAAAAAAAGCACTGACTTTTAACTGGCCTGAATTTTCATGCAGAAGTAGGGGCATTATCCAAATATTATTAAACCAGGGTCTGGGTAAGTGCTTTGGCCTAAATTTCATTTTAGAAACACAGATTAAAAACTTGTTATTTCCCTGGGAAGGAAGAAAACCAGCCTATGTATAGGTATTTTAAGTCTATATAAACCCACATTTGTTATACTAAATCAAGTAAAAAAGATAACTATGCATGAAAATAACCCTTGATAACATAGTAGTATCACAAATTCTTACATCTTTTAGGTTTTTTACAAACCTATTAATGTGGTATCAGTCTCATACATTGATTGGAAGATGAGTTATTACTGGCTACATACTTCTAAAAATGAATTTTAGTAGAAACTTGATGTTAAAAATTGATCTGCCCTTATTAAGCTTTAAAAAAAACCTATTCATAGGCTTTGTCATAAGCTTTTTCCTGAGGAAGAATGCCACATGACATTCATATATCATTTTCTAATTTTTCAAAGTGAACATTAGTTTGCTACAGCAAAAGACTAATTTGTCAAAAAAAATGCTACACATGCTAGCCACATACAAGGGGTTCACAAAGTTTGCAGAAAATGAAATTAAAAGATAAACTTATTTGGGTACAAAATTTTTTTGAAATCCATACATGGCTTTCTCATATACACATTTTCCCATGAACTTTTCCAGATATGTGTGTGTGCATGCACACACGTCTGTGTACAAAACCTACATTTTTCTGCACTGTCCTACTGTTTTTGATTTAAATCAGAATCAAAGTATCCATATATGTAAATGAATTTAATAAATTGTACTGCAGTTATGGTATTTTGCATCCTCAAGATAAAGAAAAGCATTTTCTAAATGCAAACGCTACATTTATAACATCTCATGCCTGAAGACCAAGGTGTCCCTCTAGCTACTGCATTCTTATCAGGAGAGAAGAATTAACTCACATAAGGAGGGCCTATCAAGAGGTATCTGCTCAGTTTGTCAGAATAACCTACAAATATTATGACTCATATACATGTTTAGCTTTTTTTTAATTTAATACTGGGATGAATTTTATGTAATTCAAAAGGATTTTTAAAAAGAACGTTCAATTTAGTTATTTCCCTATACTATATATATATACTATATATATACTATATATATATATACACTATATATAGATCAAAGAAGCTCAAGAGAGAATCATTTACCTCAGCTTGCACTTCCTCTTTCTGTTATTCAAGGAATCACAAAGAAACTTTCATTCAGCACGATTACCTTCCTTTTTTTTTTTTTTTTAAAGATTTATTTATTTATTTATTTGAAAGTCAGAGCTACACAGAGAAAGGAGAAGAGAGAGAGAGGTCCTCCATCCAACAGTTCACTCCCCAACTGGCCGCAACGGCCAGAGCTGTGCCGATGCAAAGCCAGGAGCCAGGATCTTTTCCCGGGCCTCCTACGCCGGTGCAGGGGCCCAAGGACCTGGGCCATCCTTCACTGCCTTCCCAGGCCACAGCAGAGAGCCGGATCAGAAGTGGAGCAGCCGGGACTAGAACTGGCGCCCACATGGGATGCCGGTGCCTCAGGCCAGGGCATCAACCCGCCGCGCCACAGCACAGGCCCCATTGATTACTTTCCAACTCTGTTTTCTGGCATACAACTGAGCTAAGACAATGAAAATAAGATGTTAAGGGAATGATATCATGCTGAAATAAGCACAGGCAGTCTGCAGTTGAAAAGTATATCATCTTGAAGTCCTTTTGGATTGCAATTTGGACTTATATTATAGTTAATACCTAGGTTCCCAGGCTAGTGGACAGTCTACAAGTATTTAAATAACAATGCTGTTAAAAGGTATCATTTATTCTCCCTAAGTAACCAAAGAGAGTACCATGTTGGCAAACTGCTTAATCCATCCGTGCCTCAGCTTCCTGCTCTTTATGGAGACAACATACAGCAACAGTGGCTCCTAGGGTTGTGAAGGGGTTCAATGAAGACAGACATTAGAAAAGCAGTTATCACGTGGTTAGTACTCTCCTGCCAGGCATGATTACTGTTGCTGAAGCCCTCCAGGGGGCGATCTAAAGTGCACCACCTAAGTTTAAGCTGGTGATTGCTCAGTACAAACTCACTAACTGCGTGCTCCAGATGTTAATTCTGCAAACCACTTGACCTCTAAAACAGTCTACGTGGTAGTGCTCCAATTCAAATGTTTCCCAGAGGGAGGCAGAACTTTTCATAATATACTTCACCATCCAAAACAGTGGTTCTCAAACTTATTGGTCTTGGGATCCTGTTACACTTGGACCCCAGATTTTCAATTATGTGGGTTATATTCATCAGTATTTATTGGTATCCAGATAGTTGGACTTTTATATCTGCCTCTGCACTAGTCTGTTGTAACATTTTCTGGGTTTTGTTTTGTTTTGGTTAAAGGTCATGAATAAAATCTATCCTCACAAAGATTTGTAGTTAGAAAAGGAAGAAGTATGTTAATAGCTTTCCTTCTTTTACAACACATAAAAACTCAACAGAGAGGAGCCGACATTGAGGTATAGCTGGTTAGGTGGGCTGGTTTGGGTCCTGCCTGCTCCACTTCCAATCCAGCTCCCTGCTAATGTACCTGGGAAAGCAGTGGGAGATTGGCCCAAGGATTTGGCTCCTGGCTTTGAGCTGGACCAGCCCCAGCCATTGTGACAATGTGGAGTGAACCAGCAGATACAACACCTCTGTCTCTCCCTTCTCTCTATAACTCTGCCATTCAAATAAATAAATATATATTTAAAAAAAAAAAACACACAAAAACCTTGAAAAATAACATTTTAAGGGTTAGTTGTGGGGCTGGTACTGTGGTGTAGCAGGTAAAGCTGCTGTGGTCTCCCATGGGGTGCAGGGCCCAAGTACTTGGGCCATCCTCCACTGCACTCCCTGGCCACAGCAGAGAGCTGGCCTGGAAGAGGGGCAACCGGGACAGAATCCGGCGCCCTGACCGGGACTAGAACCCGGTGTGCCGGCGCCACTAGGTGGAGGATTAGCCTAGTGAGCCGTGGCTCACTAGAAGCTTTTTGACTTTTGACTGGATCGTTTCAGCTCCAGCCATTTGGGGAGTGAACCATCGGATGGAAGACCTCCCTCCGCCCCCCCCCCCGCCTCTCTGTAACTCTGCCTTTCAAATAAATAAATTGTAATAAATAAATAAATAAATAAATAAATAAATAAAGGTTAGTTGCAATACAATATCTTAACTCATAGCAACAAAATTTTTTTGTTACATTAAAATCCATTAGTTTATTTTGGCCTTTTGTTTATTTATTTGAGAGAATGAGAACACTCCCAACTGCTGGTTTCCTCCCCAGATGCTTGCATCGGGTGGTTGGTCTAGGCCAAAGCCAGGAGCTGAGAACTCATCCCAGATCTCCCACGTATGCAGCAGGAACCCAATCACTGCAGCCAACCTCACTGCCTCACAGGTCCGCATCAGCAGGGAGCTGGAGTCAGGAGCCACAGCAGAGAATTAAACCCAGCGTCTCTGACATGGAAGCCAAGTACTTGCCCCTGCTCTGCGCTAAAATGGATCTTTCTGTCCACGCATGATGGTCATTCAGGAAATACTGGTCTTTTTTAAAGCAAACAAGAACATGACATCATTAACATCTTCATGAACTTTCACCAGAAGAGCCACTAAGTACTGAGCAGCTGTCAAGCTCACAGCAGATACAAGTTTCCCTTTTCACTTGAAAGCTTGAATTTTATCAGTGGAAACAAACTCTCATACTGACAATTGCTTGTTTGAAGAGACAGGCTTATTTCATTTATTTTAAGAATATGTCTGCCAAACATCCACTTGTGAATAACTATAGTTTATTGCTGGCTCTTCCAACTAAAAATATTTTTGTGGGAAAAAAGCAGCTAGTTCAGCCTGCATCTCAGTCTACTGCATCTCAGTCTACCCAATCTACGGAAAAGCCTACTTCACTATAAGAGCTCAGATGCTCTATGCATGTTTCTGTTTTAAAATTTTAGAAATTTATTTTACTTGAAAGGTAGAGAGAAAGAGATCTTTTGTTCACTGGTTCACTCCCCAAATGCCCACAATATCCAAGCACAGGCTAGGACAAAGTCAGGAACCTGAAACTCAATTCAGGTCTCCCAAGTGGGAGCCAGGGACCCAAGTACTGAGCCATCATCGACTGCCTCCCAGGGTGCTCTAGCAGTGGAGCCGGGACTTGAACCAGGCACACAGATACGGAATGGAAGCCTCACAAGCAGCAACTTAACTGCTGTACAAACGCCCACCCCATGCTTCCCATTTCTGAAACAGGATATTCATCAAGTGTCATGATTTAATAAAATTAGTAACTTCACGGCTTTATAAGTGGCATTCTTACGTAACATTGACTTATTTTTTAAAGTTATAGATGTGGGGCCAGTGCTGTGGTGTGGCGGGTAAAGCCTGTAGTGCCGGCATCCCATATGGGCACTGCTCCACTTCCAAGCTCTCAGCTATGTATGGCCTAGCAAAGCAGTGGAAGGTGGCCCAAGTCCTTGGTCCCCTACCCCCTCCCTGGGAGACCCGGAAGAAGCTCCTAGCTTCAGATTGGCGCAGCTCCAGCCACTGTGGCCATTCTAGGAAGTGAACCAGCGGGTGGAAGACCTGTCTCTCTCTCTGCATCTCTGTAACTCTGCCTTTAGAATAAATAAAATAAATTGTTTAAAATAAATAAATAAATAAAGTTATAGGTACACTGTAATGAAGAACGCAATGACTACTAGCATAGTTAGATGCCTCTGGCTTGGTTATATGAAGGCACCAGCAATGCCTTATACCACTGCTTCTGTACCATCAATTGAAATATCTTAGCATTATTTTGAAAGTGCTTGTGGCCGGCGCCATGGCTCACTTGGCTAATTCTCTGCCTGCGGCGCCGGCACCCAGGGTTCTAGTCCCAGTCGGGGCGCTGGATTATGTCCCGGTTGCCCCTCTTCCAGTCCAGCTCTCTGCTATGTCCCGGGAGGGCAGTGGAGGATGGCCCAAGTGCTTGGGCCCTGCACTCGCATGGGAGACCAGGAGGAAGCACCTGGCTCCTGGCTTCGGATTGGCACAGCGCGCTGGCCATAGCCATTTGGGGGATGAACCAACGGAAGGAAGACCTTTGTCTCTGTCTCTCTCTCTCTCACTAACTCTGCCTGTCTAAACAAAAAAAAAGAAAGAAAAAAGAAAGAAAGTGCTCATAACAGGGGCAAGAGAATGGTTTGGCAGTTAAAATGCCTGCATCAATATCAGTGCCAGGTTTGAAATCCTGACTACTCTACTTCTGATTCCAGCTTCATGCCAATGCACACCCTAGAAAGTAAAAGGAGATGGCTCCAATATTGAAGCTCCTACCACTCACATGGAAGATCCAGCCTGAGTTCTGGGCTCCTGACGTTAGCCTGGTCCAGCTCTAGCTGTTCTGGGCACTGGGGGAGTGAACCAGTGGACAGAAGATCTCTGCCTCTGTTTCTCTGTCTCTGTCTGCTGTTCAAAAAGACGTGTGTCGGAGCCTGAGTCTTTCCTCCGGCTCCTGACTTCAGCTTCCTGCTAGTGCAGACCACAGAAGGCAGCGGTGTTGCCTTAAGTAACTGGTCCATCCCAGGCATTTAGGAAGTGAACCAGGCAGTAGACGCAGCTCTCTCTGCCTCTCAAAACGATGACAAAAACCCATGTGGTCTCTTGCCATTACAGGATCCAGACATGTTATTTTAATAGATAAATACAGGAGCTGGCATTGTGGCTTAGTGGGTTAAGCCACCACCTGTGACACCAGCATCCCATATGAGCACTGGTGCTTGGACCCCTGCCACCCTGGCCTAGCCCTGACTACTGTGAGTATTTGGGGAATGAACCACCGGATGGAAGCTCGCTCTCTGTCTTTCAAATAAACAAAACAAACATTAAATATACGTGTGTAGAAAAGGAATTTGGTTTATGATTTGTCACTATAACACTTTTCCTTCATAGCTGGTAACAAATGATAATTACATAGTTATCTGTGGGAATATTCAATATTTGTCCCCTACCCCAGACAGTCAACTTCCTGGGAAGCAGGTAACTGTTCCTCTGTGCAGCCCACAAGGCTAGCAGAGTGCCTGCCACATGACAGATTCCAAGTGAACACGTGTGGACACAGTGAAGCACTGATACATAAGACCAATGGGGGTGGGGGCAGGTACAGGACACTCATAACAAGTACAGTCGTGCACAGCACGGACTTTCTGGACAACAGACCACGTACACCACGGAGGCCCCAGAAGATGCTACCGCTGAAGAACGCCACAGCCAGCTTACGTTAGTGTAAGCACAGCCTGATGCCCAAACACGACCGAACTGCCCAGGGACATTCCTCAGCGCCGACCCCTGCCATCAGGCAGCATGTGAATGGAACTGCATGTGAAGGCTAAGAAAACGTCTCAGCAACGGGGGAAATGAGGTTCACAAACCCAGAGAGCAGCTGCTCGATCTTGCTCAAGGAGTGAGGATTTTCTGCCCTTGGTGGATAACAGCCGTGCCACCGAATTTCACTGCACACCTGCTATGTGTCGGGCACTTTTCCAGAGCCACAGTCCGCGGCAGTGAACACGTACGATCCCTGTACTCGGAAGCTGACGTGCACTTCCACGACCCCAGGATGCACTTTCTCCTCACGCAATGAGCAGTGTCAGAGTTTAGTTGCCACCATTTTTTCTTTCTAAATAGTACATAAAATATTGGGGCCTCTTACACTTCACAGTGGATGACCTGGATTTACATTCAAAGTCATGTTGTGAACAGGAGATGTACTAGATCATTTTCAAAGTGTAAGAAAACACAAAAAAGGAGTACATGTTTTAGATGAAAACAAGGCCTGTCAACGCGTGTGCTTCTGGAGTCCGTGAGCTACAGATTCAGGTTCACGTAATAAGGCAGCTTCTGGAAAGATGCATGCATCTTTTACTTTATTTATTTATTTGAAAGGCAGAGTTACACAGAGAGAGCAAGATCTCCCACCCACTGGCCGTGGCTCGCTCTCTAAATGTCAGCAAAGTCGGGAGCCAGGAGCCTCCTCCAGGCCTCCCACTCGGGTGCAGGAGCCCAAGCACTTGGGTTTCCTCCGCTGCCTTCCCAGGCCATCGGCGGCTTTAACTGCTTTGCCACAGCACCGGCTCCTAAGTTTACTTCGTAATGCAAGATATAAGGTCATCAACATTTTCTTTATGCAAAAAAAAAAAAAAAAAAGCTATTTATTGTAAACCACACAAATGCTATGAGCGGGTTTGTGCCACAAACCTTATTGAACCATTCAGGGCTTTTCTTTTTAGCCAACGATAACGTCGTAACAAATCCAGCTAACATTCCCACTGCAGCAACGGTGCCGAGGAAAATTCCACCTGCCAGGCGTTTGGGGAGGGGAGAGTTAAAAAAAAAAAAAAAAAAACGTTAAAAAGATGCACACAAGTCTCAGGTACTAATAGCGTCTCATTCAAAGTCACTCTAGAAATTCGAGACGTCACGGCCGGGCAGTCTCCCCAGAGGTGAACGCTGCGACACCTGCGTGACCTCACGACCTGTGGCTCCTGCGGTCACTCGGGGGCGTCGCTCTCCAGTGCGGACGAGGGACGCAGGTTCCCGTCCCCTCTCCCCCAGGACCACGGAGCCACGTTTCTCCCGGGGAGGAGAAGAGAAACGGCAGCAGCCACAAAAGGCAGGGCGAGGGACAAATCGCTGAGGGGATGGGGGAATACGGCCCTCAGGGGAGACGAGCTCGCGGGAGACCCGAGGCCACGCGACCCGGCCGCCGCCCGCAGAGCGCGATCACCCCTCCACCCGGAAGCCCGCACCGCGGTTCACCTTTCACCACGAAAAGCCGGTCGTCCGCAGGTCCCGGGGCCTCCAGCCGAGCCCCGGCCGGCGCAGCCCCAGCACCTGCTGTGTCCATGTTTTAAGTCCCCCACCACCGAGTCCGCTCCCAACCGGGCCCGGGTGGAAGCGAGAGCGAGGCGGAGGAGAAAGGTTCCGCGGCCGCGCGTCCCTGTGCAACTTGAAGACGGGTCCGGAGTCCGGCCGGGGTCCCCAAATCTTCCCGCTCGCGCTGCGGTGGGGCCGGGGGTGGGGGTGGGGGGGGAGAAGGTATGTAGGGGCTGCAGGCGGCGTCCTCGCCGCCGATCGCAGGGTTTCAATAATTACTTGCCTGGTTTGAAAGAATGCAGAACCCTGACTCCAGGAGGCACCGGGGGTCGCTGATGGCCCCAGGTTCCCAGCCCCAGCTGGTTGGAGGATGCTGGAACTCAGCTTCCGCATCAGACTCTCGCTGGGTCGGTTCCCCAAAGCAGGCCCTGGTCTCTTCTCTGCCGTCCTCCCGGAAATTCCCTAGCGGTCCTCCCTGGGGAGAGCGGACCTTCTGGGTAGCCTGGCCAGCGTGGGGTGCCAGCCCCGGGGCGGGGGCGCTGAGGTCTTGCACGGGGACAGGCCTGGTTTCTGAGGGGCCTAAGACCCGGGCGTCCGATGACGATGCGGCGCTCTGCCTGTCTTTCTCTGCCCCCAACACTCTGGGGCAGGAGTTTCCTGAGGAGGGGTGGGGACCCACATTCATTTTTATATTTCTCAGCTTCCAGCCAGTTGTCTGTCGTGCGTCATAAATGCATGTTGGATGAATGAGTCAACGAATGTATTCCTTTTAAATGCAGGTGATAGCTGAAATCTGGGGCCAGCCATTGTTGGTGCAGTGCTGGAAGCGCTGCCTCGGTGGCTGGCATCCCCTAGGAGCGCTGGCTGGAATCTCAGCTGCTCTGCTCCCCAGCCAGCTCCTGCTGGTGCACCTGGGAAAGCAGCTGACGATGCCAAGTGCTTGGGCCCCTGCACCCATGTGGGAGACCCAGAGGCTTCCTCCTGGCTCAGTCCCAGCCATTGGGATCATTTGGGGAGTGAACCAGCGGATGGAAGATCTCTTTTTCTGTCTCTCCCTCTCTCTGTCACTCTGCCTTTCGAATAAATAAAGCTTAATAATGATAATAATAACTTAAAACCTGAGTACAGGCCCTAAACTGCATCTTAGCTTTGTCACCTTGGGATTACTTGGTTTCTCCAGATCTCAAACTCCTCAACTGTAAAATAAAGGAAGGCTTGCGGCACCGGCACACCGGGTTCTAGTTCCCTTTGGGGCGCCGGATTCTGTCCCGGTTGCCCCTCTTCCAGGCCAGCTCTCTGCTGTGGCCAGGGAGTGCAGTGGAGGATGGCCCAGGTCCTTGGGCCCTGCACCCCATGGGAGACCAGGAGAAGCACGTGGCTCCTGCCATCGGATCAGCGCGGTGTGCCTGCCGCAGCACGCCGGCTGTGGCAGCCATTGGAGGGTGAACCAACGGCAAAGGAAGACCTTTCTCTCTGTCTCTTTCTCTCACTTTCCACTCTGCCTGTCAAAAATAATAATAATAAAAAAAAAAAGGAAAGAGCTTCCTTGTCTTAGTCTGTTTTCTACTGCTAACACCAGCACAGACTGGATGTACTGTAAATGGAAACAGCTTATTCCACTCAGTTCTGGAGGCTGGGAAGTTCAAGGCTGAGGGGCTGAACCTGGTGAGGGCTTATGAGCTGCTTCACATGTGGAAGGCATTACAAGATGGGGGGCAGGGGAGAGGCCAGAGCTCATCAGAATTCATCACACCCCTGCTCCTGTAATAACAGCAGTAGTCTGCTCATGAGGGCAGAGTCCCCATGGCAGAAGTACCTCCCGATACTATCACTGTGGAAATTCAATGTCAAGTTTTTGAAGTGCACCATAGCACCACCTCAAAGAGTTGCTGTGAGAATTATATGAAGCAATGTGCAATAGAGAAGTTAGTTAGCACAAAGCCTGGCACAAAGAAGTACTCCATAAATATTAGCTCTAATTATTGTCACCTTTGATTGCACTACTGTTTTAGTAGAATTCTTTGAGATTTTTAAAAATAACAGATGCCCAGGGGCCGGCACTGTGCCCACTGCCTGTGGTGCCGGCATCCCATATGGGTGCCGATGTGAGTCCTGACTGCTCCACTTCTGATCCAGCTCCATGTTAATGTGCCTGGGAAAGCAATAGAAGATGGCCCAGGTACTCGGGCCTCTGCATCTACGTGGGAGACCCGGAAGAAGCTCCTGGCTCCTGGTTTTGGATCAGCCCAGCTCCGGCCATTGCTGCCATTTGGGAAATGAACCAGCAGATGGAAGACACCTCTCTCCCTCTCCCTCTCCCGCTCTTGCTCTCTCAAGGAAATAAATAAATCTTTAAAGAATAAAATAGATGCCCAGGACCTCCCCTGGAGATTAAGGCTCTGAAGGTGGAGGGCAGGGAATGGTTTAAAAGCTCCGTGAGGGTAAGGATTATGAGTCAGGACTGAGAGCCTCTGTTCAGTTCTCATTTCTTCGTGGATGCGCTCCTGCGGAAGCGTTTGACCCTTGGACCCCTCAGTGCCTGAAAGGGCCCTTTGCACTGGTAATACTGAGCTAGCTTGTTGAAGTTCCAAAGACCAAGCCTTACTGCTTCCCCTTATACATAATGCTGACCACGGCTGCTAGGATTTGTCGAGTGCACGCTGGATGTCTAGAATCACGCCAAGTGCTTCAAATATGTTACCTCATTTAATGCTATCCACGAGCTCCGAAAGACTAACTTGCTCAAGCTCACACAGCTGTTAAGTAGTGGAGCCAAGACTGAAAAGCAAGTCCTTCCTTAGCCACAGTGCCCGTGTCCCCAAGCCTGCGGGTGATCCCTGGAAGGGCTTGGTGAACACAGATAGCCGGGCCACATTCCCAGCATTCTGGAGTTGGGGGGTGGGGAGGGTGGCGCTGAGAACTCGTGTGTCTAACAAGTGCCCAGGTGACATGGACACCATGGGCTCCACTTGGAGACCGTCTTCTCTGCACCTGACTCCTACAGCCTGTACCTCTTCCAGTCCGCACCAGGCACTGCCACTCTAGGACATCGGTTCTCCCAGTCTGCTCAGAGGGATACAGGGCAAGCCTTGCCCTCTGTGCTTGGCGGTCTCCCCCCTGGAGGCACAGAACAGCTTGAGGATGACGTCACTGTTTACTGTAGGGAGCAGAAGCAGAGACTCTGCATCCAATGCAGGCGAGTTGCAGAGTCCTGACTACAGAACTGTGAGAGTGACGACGACTCCTGTGGGACCCCCGTCTGCTTTCATTCTGCAGGGTGTGGCTCGTGGACCTCTACCTTCTTTCTCACGCCCCTCTCTTCTGCCTGAAAGCTCCTTTCCCAATATACACAGGGCTGAAAGGTGATGAAAGCAAACCAGTGGTTGCTCTTGAGCCAGGGGGAGCAGCTGGCATTGTGGTGATGCCAGCTAGATACACACCACAGCATGGAGTGACTGACTGGATACGCACCACAGGGCAGACTGACTGAAAGCCCCTGGGACAAGGCACATCTGTGGGAGAACTAGAACCTTCCTCATGAGCCCCAGGTGCCCGCGGTATGGCTTGCTCTGTGCTGGGGACCAGGAGATGGTGTTTCAAGAGCCCTACATGGGGGCCAGCATTGTGGCACAGCAGGTGAAGCTGCCACAAGCAACGCAGGCATCCCATGTGAAAGCCAGCTGGAGTCCCCGCTGTGCCACTTCCCATCTAGCTCCCTGCTAATGTGCCTGGAAAGGCAGCAGAAAATGGCCCTAGTGCTTGGGCCCCTGTACCCATCCAGGAGACCTGGATGGGGTTCTTGGCTCCTGGCTTTGGTCTGATGCAACTCTGGCCATTTATGATCATTTGGGGAGCAAACCAGCAGATGGAAGATCTCTCTCTCTCTCTCTCTCTCTCTTTCTGTGTGTGTGTGCATCTCACCCTCTCTGTAACTTTGCCTTTTCAAATAAATAAAACAAATCTTAGGAAAAAAATAAAGGAGCCCTAGATGCCTGAAAACACAGGACAGATGGTCCAGGGTCCTGAGATTGGCACCGTATTTCAGGTGTCGCAAGTTAGAATGCTGACAGAAAGCCTGTTCGCTATTCTCTGCCCTGACGACAATTGAGACAACGTTACCTAAGGCGTCTTATTTCCACAAGGCACACTTTCGGTACTTCAAGTACCGCCAGATTAACAGGTGAGCTTCAGGAATTCTAAAGTCGCATGCACGCTTGTTCCTGCAGGAAGGCAGGCTGCACACTCCTGGCAGGCTTCCTGCACACATTCGGAGCAGAGCGAGCAGGACAGAGCCTTTCCAAGGGTGGCGACTGGAGATTAGAAAGCTGCAGAGCTTCCAGGCTCCACACAAAGCTGGCAGGACTGTCATTTCACTGCGAGCGTAATACCCTTTCAGGAAAATGGAATAGAAATGTCTTGTTGCAGAAACGAGACTGCTGGGAAGGCAAGTTTATCTGAGACAGATGCTGGTGCTATTTTGGTGTTTGTTGAAGTCAGCTGAAGCCCACGCCAGCCATGCCTCTGACCACATTTTTTTCCCCAAACTTCTCGGCCCCTGTAGGTTCTGTTTCAAATTTTGACAGCTAGCAACCTGTGAGCATTACAGTTCCCAGAATGTAAGGAGCCCTAGCTCTAGTCAGTTTCAAACACTGATGGGCTTTTCTTCCCTGTCAATTTTTAAAACATATCTTTGGCATTTCAATTTCTCCATGATTAGGGTATAAGATGCAATGATTTTTTTAAAAAAGATTTATTTATTTATTTGAAAGTCAGAGTTACACAGAGAGAGAGGGAAAGGCAGAGAGAGAGAAAGAGAGGTCTTCCATCTAATGGTTCACTCTCCAGTTGGCTGCAATGGCCGGAGCTGTGCCGATCCAGAGTCAGGATCATCTCTGGGACTCCCACATGGATGCAGGGCCCAAGGAGTTGGGCCAACTTTTACTGCTTTCCCAGGCCATAGCAGAGAGCTGGATCAGAAGTGGAGCAGCTGGGTCTCGAAGCAGTGCCCATATGGGATGCTGGCACTGCAGGTGGCGGCTGAACCCATACGCCACAGTGCCGGCCCAGAGATGAGATGATTTTTAAAAACTGGTAAGGCTCAGG